CATGGACTTGAAAGTTGTCCTCAGATATAATATAATAATAAATAATAATAATAATAATAATAATAATAATAATTTATTATTTATACCCCGCCCATCTGGCTGGGCTTCCCCAGCCACTCTGGCCGGCTTCCAAAAAATATTAAAATACTAGATGATGAAAAAAGATTTGGAAAAATGAATTTTCTTATATTTAAATTTTCTTTTTTCTTGTAAAACAGCTTTTGTTGTGTCTGGACGATGTATTCTGACCTTGGAAAATAAAGCAATAAAAAATTTTAAAAAACAAACAAACAAAAATATTAAAATACTGTGACACATCGAACATTAAAAGCTTCCCTAAACAGGGCTGCCTTCAGATGTCTTCTAAAAGTCTGGTAGTTGCTGTTCTCTTTGACATCTGGTGGGAGGGCGTTGCACAGGGTGGGTGCCACTACCGAGAAAGGCCCTCTGCCTGGTTCCCTGTAACTTGGCTTCTCGCAGTGAGGGAACCGCCAGAAGGCCTAGGCGCTGGACCTCAGTGTCCAGGTAGAATGATGGGGGTGGAGACACTCCTTTAGATAATAAACTGGGCTCAGAATTGTGGGAAAGTTGTGACACTGTGTACAAAACTGCAATCTGAGTAACACCCTCAGAGTTAAGCCGAAACAGCCAGGACTCTTAAGAGACTAATAACATTTATTGAGGCATAAGCTTTCCTGGACTAGAGTTTACTTAATCAAACGCATGAAGTATTATTATCCTCGCTTGACAGAGTTTTTCTCTCAGGATCCCAGAGTTCCATTCTATCAAAACTGAGCAAACAGGAACAATAACAATCAATAGCTTATATGCAGAAGTTGGCATTCCTTTAATGCCAGGAATGAACAGAAGGAATTACTTTAAAGGTATTTCAAGAAGCTAGGCATTGAAATATTTCTGCATACAATTTTTTTAAAAAATAAATATTCGCTCAATGAATAAAATGTTTGCACAACTCTGCTCTGCTTCAGTCGGCTTGCTTGGCAGTAAACTGATGGGAATCACATCAATGCAAACATGAAAGAGAATATACTACTTCTTACTTTGCTGCAAATAAAGAAAATTGACCAGTTTTAATATCAAGCAGGCAACATTATAATGTCTGCCACCATGGGGGTGAACTGCTTTCCCCTCTGTCAGAAAAAAGCCTCTGTCCAAGAGTACATGATTATACCTGTGCAAGAAAGTGGAGAAATTTCAGGATATGATACAGATTTGTAATTGGTCATTAGGTTTTTACGAATAGGTGGCAAGCAAATGACATGCCCTAAAGTAATCATCCTGTAAAAGATAGCAAAACTAACTTAGCTGCCCAAATTGAGGTTGGAAGAACACATAGATTTCCACAGACCTGGATTGGTATCTACTTATATGTGCTTTATGTATACACATCCTCTCTCTGTGTTCCTGTCTGCCTCTCTCCTTCTGTGAGAGGTGCTCCCTTTACTCAGTTGGGATGAGAATGATTTTGAAGCTATCAAAAAAACTGTCAAGATAGCACTCACATTACAGTATTGTTTGTGCTTCTATAATTCATACAGGTTCATAGCTTTGATTGGAATTTTGATGGAACAGGTGCCTGATTATTGTCATCTGGACAAACAAATTTCAGGTGGCTAGCTGAGTTCTGGGCAAGCTTCCATCCATGTTTACCATTTTGTTTTTGTTGCTGTTTGCTCAATTGCCTTCATGCAATAGTTTTTCTGTCTTTTCATAGACCAGTGAAATTATCCTGTTTTGCTCTCCATATTTCTCAGGTCATTTAACTGCTTGGCTATATTTCCTTTTGTGTTGCTGCATGAAAGATTGATGTGAGGAAGGGCGGGGGGGAGCATTTAACAGACAAGTCGTTGTCAGATAAAAGATTTGGCAGAGAAAACGTCCCTGATAGACAATCAGTATGACTCTTTTTTTAAACTACATACATGAAGCTAAGTGTCAAATTTGTTCCCAGCTCAGAGGTAAGAGGCCATTTTGAAATTTAACAGCAACCTAATGACCCAGTAAGTCATTTTAACAATCCCAAAGTCTGTTGTGTTCATTATTCCAAATGTCTATACCACTCCTGGTTGTTTTAAGAATGTGTCAGTGTGATTTAAATTGTATGTTGTATTTTTATGCAGTGAAGTGACCTGAGATCTACAGATGGAGGGCTGTAAGTAAGTAAGTAAGTAAATATAATAGCTTCACAACCTGGTCCTAAATTTGGCCCTGCCATTAGCCACAGTGAAGCCACAACCTCTGTCAGAAATAGGGATGAGGCAGAAAATTAATTCAATTCGCATTTAAATGCAAACTTACCTAACTTTCACTGTTTGAAACAAGATAAGGACTGAAGCAAAGCTGCAAGCTGCATTTCTCCAGGCAAGTACCATTTACAAAAATGCATACGCTGAAGTAAGGTGTGCATATAAATGCATACACTAGTCCCCCCCCAAAAAAAAGGACATACAGAAATGCATTGTATTGTGGGCATCTGCTTTGCATATTAAACAAAATTGCATTCAAATTCAAAATTGCATATTAGGAGAATTTTGCAGCAAAATGCTAGTGGGTTTTCATGAGGACTTCTTTTAAAAATGCAAACGGTGCCAGAATGTGTAGAAGACCTGAACTTAATAGTAGAAAAATGAGAAACTGAGATGAACCAAAATGGACAGACTCCCTGCCAATTACCTCTGCTGTCCCTAATCTGGCCTGCTGCCTCAGGTGTGGCAGACAATGCTCTCCTGTCACCAGAGGTGAAGCAAGATTCAACTGTCAATCCACTTGACTTCTGCATGATGCCTTCCTTCGCCTCAGGTGTCAAAATATTATTGGCCTGCCCTAAAATCTCACTTTAAGTATTCTGCAAGGCAAATGGATTTTATATGGAACTATACAAGTTCTATAGGTATAGGTATAAGGCATTTTGTTTTGGTCAGTAATCCCAAACCTCGGTGTAACTCCACCCCTTCCCACAAACACCCCCTAATTCCACACATTCCAGTGCCCTTTCTTTCTTTCCTTTTGCTCCTCACTAACCAAACACCCAGACATCTCCTCTCCCACTTATTTCCTTACCCCCCTGAGCAATGTGCCTGATCAGGAGTCATCAGCTCTCATGGAACTGGCATCCAGTAAAGTGTGCAGATGTTCCCGTCGGGATGATTTGCATGAGAACAAAACTTCAAATGTCGCATGGAAAAACCACGCAAAAGTCACCATTCAAAGCCTCACAGCCTCATCTGAGAGATGCAGGAGGCAACGTTGTCCAGGAGTGCGGCTGTTTTTATCCCATTGGCATTTGTGTTTGGCAATGCTTTGTTTAATGGTTTTATTCAATGTTCCTAACAAAATAAAATAAAAGCACATCATAAATCGGAGGGTGTTTTTTTGGTTTTGTTTTTAAAGCTTTGGAATACTTTTTTTTTTTTAAAGCCTCATGGTTCTGGTCTGAATGTCAAACAGAAAACATCACTGAAGATCTTAACATAGGGTTACCAGACATCCCCAGTTCCCAGGAACAGTCCCCGGATTTGCAAATCTGTCCGCAGGAAACGTGGCAGTAGCAGCCTCAGCAGCCCAGAGCCAGCCTGGTAGCGCAGTTGGCTCTGGCTGGCTTCAGGCACTGCTCGCTGCCGCCACCACTGCTGAAGGGTAACCAGGGATGTCCGGTGGTGCAGATCTCCTGTCCCCCCCCCCTTGTTTTGACAGATCAGGGGAGGCTTGGGAGTCGCGGGCGGGCAGGCACCGCCCAGGAGGGGCGGAAGGCGCATGGTTTCTCTGCCAGGCAAGATGCAAAGCCCTTCTTTTGCACCCTGTGAAACATAAATGTGCAGAGTTTTTTTTTTAAAAAAAACTGGGCAACAGCCACCCACCTGTTCCCAAGCTTCCCTCAATCAGTCAAAACAAAGGAGGAAGGGGGCAGGAGATCAGGGGAGCACCGTTGCCCAGTTTTTAAAAAACTCTGCGCATTTATGTTTCACAGGGTGCGAAAGAAGGGCTTTGCACCTTTATACAATATGCATATGTACTTGGGCCTAGGGTCTTTTGCCTCACCATCTCCACTACTGATTCCCTGTTGCTAAGGTAAAGGTAAAGGGACCCCTGACCATTAGGTCCAGTTGCGGACGACTCTGGGGTTGCGGCACTCATCTCGCTATATTGGCCGAGGGAGCTGGTGTACAGCTTCCGGGTCATGTGGCCAGCATGACTAAGCCGCTTCTGGCGAACCAGAGCAGCACACGGAAACACTGTTTACCTTCCCGCTGGAGCGATACCTATTTATTTACTTGCACTTTGACATGCTTTTGAACTGCTAGGTTGGCAGGAGCTGGGACCGAGCAACAGGAGCTCACCCTGTCGCGGGGATTCGAACCGGCGACCTTCTGATCGGCAAGTCCTAAGCTCTGTGGTTTAACCCACAGTGCCACCCACATCCCACCCATGTCCCTGTTGCTACTCAGCTTCAAAAAAATAAAAAGTGCCCCCGGATTTATTGAAAAAAATCTGGTAACCATATCTTAACAGTGATCTCAGTTCTCCAAGTGGCAGGACTTACCGCCGCCAAAGTGGCCCCACCCACACACCTGCATGGGGAAACATCAAGGGTTGCCAAAGTAAAACAACAACAACAACAACAACAATTAGAGAGAAAAAACACCTATGGGAGCAAAACCCCAAAAAGGAATAAAAAGCAGCCTGTCTGAGCATGCTCAGTAAGGCATGGAAAGCTGTGGTTCATTATAGGGAAAACAGAACGGGGTACAGTGGTACCTCGGGTTACATACGCTTCAGGTTACAGACGCTTCAGGTTAAAGACTCTGCTAACCCAGAAATAGTGCTTCAGGTTAAGTACTTTGCTTCAAGATGAGAACAGAAATTGTACTCCGGCAGCGCGGCGGCAGCAGGAGGCCCCATTAGCTAAAGTGGTGCTTCAGGTTAAGAACAGTTTCAGGTTAAGAATGGACCTCTAGAACGAATTAAGTACTTAACCCGAGGTACCACTGTATCTTGAATGATGAACTGAGGAGCTACTCACTGAACCATGAGGCAAGGTGAGGTGACTGCCTCAGGTGGCAGGATCCACAGAGGCAGAAGATTAGGCCTTCAAGGAATGCAGCGCCTGCTTCAGTGGTGGTAGCGACAGTTGAAGTGCTCCCCTTGGAGGCCAGATTTAAAAATTAACCGCCACAGTAGCCTGTTGGCAAATAGGAGGCACTGCTGGTCTTCTTCCACACTTGCTCTCAATGTAGATTTTTATGCTTCTCCCCCCCCCCCCCTTTGTTCCTGATACAGATCTTCACGCAATCCTTCTTCTCTGGCCTGGTGAGCCACCATTTTTTTTGTTTACCTCAGATGTCAAAAATGCCTGTTATCATAGTCAGCTCTCTTGTAACTGTTCACATGGACTTGAAAGTTGTCCTCAGATAATAATAATAATAATAATAATAATAATAATAATAATAATAATAATAATTTATTATTTATACCCCGCCCATCTGGCTGGGCTTCCCCAGCCACTCTGGGCGGCTTCCAAAAAATATTAAAATACTAGATGATGAAAAAAGATTTGGAAAAATGAATTTTCTTATATTTAAATTTTCTTTTTTCTTGTAAAACAGCTTTTGTTGTGTCATGGACGATGTATTCTGACCTTGGAAAATAAAGCAATAAAAAATTTTAAAAAACAAACAAACAAAAAATATTAAAATACTGTGACACATCGAACATTAAAAGCTTCCCTAAACAGGGCTGCCTTCAGATGTCTTCTAAAAGTCTGGTAGTTGCTGTTCTCTTTGACATCTGGTGGGAGGGCGTTGCACAGGGTGGGTGCCACTACCGAGAAGGCCCTCTGCCTGGTTCCCTGTAACTTGGCTTCTCGCAGTGAGGGAACCGCCAGAAGGCCCTAGGCGCTGGACCTCAGTGTCCAGGTAGAATGATGGGGGTGGAGACACTCCTTTAGATAATAAACTGGGCTCAGAACTTGTGGGAAAGTTGTGACACTGTGTACAAAACTGCAATCTGAGTAACACCCTCAGAGTTAGCCGAAACAGCCAGGACTCTTAAGAAGACTAATAACATTTATTGAGGCATAAGCTTTCCTGGACTAGAGTTTACTTAATCAAACGCATGAAGTATTATTATCCTCGCTTGACAGGAGTTTTTCTCTCAGGATCCCAGAGTTCCATTCCTATCAAAACTGAGCAAACAGGAACAATAACAATCAATAGCTTATATGCAGAAGTTGGCATTCCTTTAATGCCAGGAATGAACAGAAGGAATTACTTTAAAGGTATTTCAAGAAAGCTAGGCATTGAAATATTTCTGCATACAATTTTTTTAAAAAATAAATATTCCAGCTCAATGAATAAAATGTTTGCACAACTCTGCTCTGCTTCAGTCGGCTTGCTTGGCAGTAAACTGATGGGAATCACATCAATGCAAACATGAAAGAGAATATACTACTTCTTACTTTGCTGCAAATAAAGAAAATTGACAGTTTTAATATCAAGCAGGCAACATTATAATGTCTGCACCCATGGGGGTGAACTGCTTTCCCCTCTGTCAGAAAAAAGCCTCTGTCCAAGAGTACATGATTATACCTGTGCAAGAAAGTGGAGAAATTTCAGGATATGATAACAGATTTGTAATTGGTCATTAGGTTTTTACGAATAGGTGGCAAGCAAATGACATGCCCTAAAGTAATCATCCTGTAAAAGATAGCAAAACTAACTTAGCTGCCCAAATTGAGGTTGGAAGAACACATAGATTTCCACAGACCTGGATTGGTATCTACTTATATGTGCTTTATGTATACACATCCTCTCTCTGTGTCTCTGTCTGCCTCTCTCCTTCTGTGAGAGGTGCTCCCTTACTCAGTTGGGATGAGAATGATTTTGAAGCTATCAAAAAAGAACTGTCAAGATAGCACTCACATTACAGTATTGTTTGTGCTTCTATAATTCATACAGGTTCATAGCTTTGATTGGAATTTTGATGGAACAGGTGCCCTGATTATTGTCATCTGGACAAACAAATTTCAGGTGGCTAGCTGAGTTCTGGGCAAGCTTCCATCCATGTTTACCATTTTGTTTTTGTTGCTGTTTGCTCAATTGCCTTCATGGCATAGTTTTTCTGTCTTTTCATAGACCCAGTGAAATTATCCTGTTTTGCTCTCCATATTTCCTCAGGTCATTTAACATGCTTGGCTATATTTCCTTTTGTGTTGCTGCATGAAAGATTGATGTGAGGAAGGGCGGGGGGGAGCATTTAACAGACAAGTCGTTGTCAGATAAAAGATTTTGGCAGAGAAAAAGTCAGCTGACATATCTTAGCCATCTTTAAAACATTCTTGAGATTCCAGATCAAATTTGTTTTTTTTTTCTTTTAGAGTGAGGGGTTGTTTCTTATTTTTGCATCCCAACATTTGATTTATTGATAATACATGGATGTACAATGGTTTAGTTGAGTCCGGTTGCAGCATTATGAAATCTTCTAAAACTACAGCAAAAGAATTAAAAAGCAAAATATTCAGGGGGCTGAATTGAAAGAGCATATGAATATATGAAAACACGAAGCTGCCTTATATTACACCAGGCAATTGCTCCACTATGTCTCTTAAGCCTTCCCAAAATTAGTCTATTTTATTGTCGCTGTTCTTAATTCTGGATAGGGTTTAGGCTTTAACACTGATTTATTATCTCTATAGGGTTTTATGTTCTGTTTCGGTACACCATGTATTCTCTGAATGTAAGGATGTTTATAAATTCTGAACCAAATAGACAAAATATTGTCTACACTAACTGGCATTGGCTTCCCAGGATTTCAGACACAGAGTTGTATCAATTGCTGCACCAGCAGGGTTCCACTAGTACAATGGGACTTCTGTTTCCTCTCTGCCCTTCATACACCTTCCAAGTCTGCACTGGTCCCCAGCCCTCCAGACTTTGTGCAAAGGTTCTGGAGGTGACAGAAGGCTGTTGAACCAGTGGAATTACAGCATCTTTCTTAGCCTGAAGATGCCAAGGTTGGAACCTGGGACTCTCCACATGCAAAGCAGAGGCTTTACCACTGAGCTATGGCTCTTCTTCATGTTCTCTAATTTTTTGAGACAGCAAAGGGAGATGGGGAAACAAGAATTTCAATGTGGGGCTCATCTTTTTCTCCACTTTCCTACCCTTTGTCACCAAGAATGACAGGCCCAGGGAGACAAAAGGAAAGCAATGAGGTGTGTTCTGTTATAAAAACAACCAAGTTAGTTTTCCTTCAGATTATTTTAAAACACAACCAAGGGCACAAACCCTTTTTTGACAAATGCTACCTTCTCACAACCCCTTTGAGAGTACTGGATAATGTCTTTCTGATCCCCAAAATTGGCAGTCTCACTCTCAGGCTTGTGTGTATAGGTTGCTGTTTTAATAACGCTTTACACAGACTTTCCAACCTGATGTCCTCCAGATGTTTTGGACTATGACACCCATCATCCCTGATTATTGGCCATAATGGCTGAGGCTGATGGGAGTTGTAGTCCAAAACGTCCTCACGGCATTAAGTTGAGGAAGGTTGCTTTAATAGAATCATTCTATAAATAGGGTCTCTTAGTAAAGTGAGACTGACTTATAGCATGGGATGGCTAACCTGTAGCCCCCCAGATGTACTACAGTGTGTATCACCCCTAACCACTGAACATGTTGTTTGGGAGTGATGGGAGTTGGAGTCCAGCAACACAGGTTTTGAAGCAAGATTCGTTTCAACATTTTCACTTGAAGACTCCCCCCCTCAAAAAAAAGGCAGATCTCACAAATCCAGTTTAAAAGCTTCAAAAGTAAATGCATGGGACAGTTTGCTCTCTGTCCATGGTGCTGATTAGCTGTGTGCTTTGTATCTCTCCAGCATATAATAAGCAGAAAAGACGAATAGTGTTGGAAAACGAATTAGGTATATTACATAAACATATTACATCCAATTGCACAGGCACTTCTGGGGAACCTCAGCTGCATATCTTTTATCTGAATTGAGCCATAATATGAATATGGTATTTTTAAAAATGACAAAAGGAAACGAAATGGTTGAGTAGCTTTGGGAAGATTAGTCCTTGGATGTTTGTAGTAGTCACATTTCAGATATATTGCAGCTGCAATCCTATACCTACTTACCGTTTAATTTAGTGGGACTACTTCTAAGTAGGCATGTAGAGGATTGTGCTGTAAATAGGTAGAACCCAAACTAAGTTAATTGCGCCCAAGTCCCGCCAAAATCAATGCAAAATGTTAGTTATGGTTTAACTCATCTCACTGGTATTAATGGGAACCAAGTGTGAACAGCTTGGACTGGATCCAGCCCAATGTATCCAGCCTTGACTTGCATCTTGGTTATTCCCCTTCTTTTCTCCTCTTTTGTGACTTCATTGTTGTGTGCCTGTGATATCCCTTTTTGTAACATAAACTTGTGATATCTCGAAAGGCCAGATATTGTAATCTGATGTACAAGCTTTTGTTTTTAACAGAAAAGGCAAGAATAAAGCAAAAAGGGAAATTCACAAAATCAGCACATTTTTCCTCAAAGGTCTAGGGAAGGTCTAGACCCATGAACAGAATGTGATCCCAAAGCAATGTTATCTACACACTGGCAACACTACCAAATAAAGTGGTATCTCGGGTTACATACGCTTCAGGTTACATATGCTTCAGGTTACAGACTCCGCTAACCAAGAAACAGTGCTTCAGGTTAAGAACTTTGCTTCAGGATGAGAAAAGAAATCGTGCTCCAGCGGCGCGGCAGCAGCATTAGCTAAAGTGGTGCTTCAGGTTAAGAACAGTTTCAGGTTAAGTACGGACCTCCGGAACAAATTAAGTATTTAACCCGAGGTATCACTGTACTAATCAAGGTGTGGTTGAAAAAAATGCTGATGGAAAAGGACATTGTTTTCAAAGTTGCTCAAGACAGGCATAGTCCATGCATGCTCCAGATATCCAATATTTGTAAATAGCTTTTCCATCAACAGTGTTGATCTCAAACCATCTGACAGTAGCACATCATCAAAATGTATAAATAAAATATCCATATCAACATAATATCAAGAAAACAAAAACAAGTCATATGACTGTAATTTGTTTTAATATTGAATTTCAAGTTGTTGTACCCCACCATGAGACCTGATGGTGAAAGGTGGGTTAAAAATGGAATTCATTCATTCATAAATAAATAAATAAATAACAAGTTCAATAAATACATGAAAAATAACTGAACAATATAAAGATTCTAAATACAAAAAAGGTAGAGTGTTAATACATGTAAATGTAGAGGGGCAAGACTAACATTCACAG